TACAAATTCGATGTGCAAAACTCACTAGCATTCCTATTCACCAACAATAGTTAAGCCAAGAGCCAAATCAAGAATACAATCCCATTCATAATTGCCACAAAAAGAATAAAATATTGGCCAGGCGAGGTGGCTCACGCCTGTAATCCCAGCACTTTGGGAGGCCGAGGCAGGCTGATCACGAGGTCAGGAGTTGAAGACCAGCCTGGCCAACATGGTGAAACCCCGTGTCTCCAAAAAACTAGCTGGGCATGGTGGCACGCACCTGTAATCCCAGCTACTCAGGAGGTTGAGGCAGGAGAATTGCTTGAACCCAGGAGGCAGAGGTTGCAGTGAAATGAGATGGTGCCACTGCACTCCAGCCTGGGCAACAGAGGGCGACTCTCAAAAAAAAAAAAAAAAAGAATAAAATAACTAGGAATACAGCTAATCAGGGAGGCAAAAGAGCACTACAAGGAGAACTACAAAACACTGCTCAAGTAAATTATTAGAGTGACACAAAGAAATGAAAAAATATTCCATGCCCATGGATAGGAAGCAACAGTATTGTTAAAATGGTCATACTGCTCAAAGCAATTTATAGATTCAATGTTATTCCTATTAAATTACCAGTGACATTCTTCACAGAATTAGAAAAAAACTACTCTAAAATTTATGTGAACCCAAAAAGAGCCTGAATAGCCAAGACAATCTTAAGCAAAAAGAATAAAGCTAGAAGCATCATGCTACCTGACTTCAAACTATACTACAGGGCTACAGTAACTAAAACAGTATGGTACTAGTACAAAAACAGACACATAGACCAATGGAACAGAAGAGAACCTAGAAGTAAGGCCACAAACCTACAACTATCTGTTCTTTGACAAACCTGACAAAAACAAGCAAAGTACTCCCTATTCACTAAATGATGCTGAGATGACTGACTGGCCATAGGCAGAAGATTAAAACTGGACCCCTTCCTTACACCATATACAAAGATTAACTCAAGATGGATTAAAGACTTAAATGTAAAACCCAAAACTATAAAAACCCTGAAAGACAACCTAAGTAATACCATTCTGGACATAGGAACAAGTAAATATTTTATGACAAAGATGCCAAAAACAATTGCAACAAAAGCAAAAATTGACAAACAATATCAAATTAAAGAGCTTCTGTACAGCAAAAGAAACTATCAACCGGGTGAACAGACAACCTATAGAATGAGAGAAAACTTTTGTAAACTGTATCTGACAAAGATCTAATATCCAGCATCTATAAGGAACTTAAATTTACAAGAAAAAAAAAACATTAAAAAGCAAGCAGATGACACAGACACTTTTCAAAACAAGAAATACGTGTGGCCAAAAAGCATATAGAAAAAGCTCAACATCGCTGATCATTAGAGAAATGCAAATCAAAACCACAAGGAGATACCATCTGATACCAGTCAGAATGGCTATTATTAAACAGTCAAAAAATAACAGATGCTGGTGAAGTTGTGGAGAAAAATGAATGCTTATACAATGTTGGTGGGAGTGTAAATTAGTTCCACCATTGTGGAAGACAGCGTGGCAATTCCTCAAAGACCTAAAGACAGAAATACCATTTGACCCAGCAATCACATTACTGGGTATATACCCAAAGGAATATAAATTGTTCTACCAAGAAGACACATGCATGCATATGTTTATTCCAGCTCTATTCACAACAGCAAAGACATAGAATCAACCTAAATGCCCATCAGTGACAGGCTGGATAAAGAAAATGTGGTACATATACACCATGGAATACTATGCAGCTATAAAAAAGAATGTAATAATGTCCTTTGCAGGGACGTGGATGGAATTGGAGGCCATTATCCTTAGCAAGCCAAGGCAGGAACAGAAAACCAAATACCACATGTTCTCACTTATAGGTGGGAACTGAATGATGAGAACACATGGACACACAGTGGGGAATAGCACACACTGGGGCCTCTCAGAGGGTTGGGGGTGGGAGGAGGGGGAGGATAAGAAAAAAATAACTAGTGGGTACTAGACTTAATACCTAGATGATGAAATAATCTGTATAACAAGCCCCCATGACCCAAGTTTACTTATGTAACAAACCTGCATGTATACCTCTAAACCTCAAATAAAACTTTAAATAAAAATCAGGACCAAAATTTTTCCAGCATAAATTACCCTGTTATAAGTGAATATCCTAGAACAAACTTTCTCTACATCTCTGTCTATATTTGCCCATGTTTTATTTCTAAAAGGGGAATAAATGAATCAACATTTTTGAGGCTCATGATACATATTGTCAAATTGTCCTCCAGAAGATTGTACCAATTTTTGCTTTATCTGCTGGTTTTATTTTTTTAATTTTTCTTTTTTTTTTGAGACAGAGTTTCATTCTGTCGCCCAGGCTGGAGTGCAATGGCATGATCTCGGCTCACTGTAACTTCTGCCTCCCAGGTTTAAGCAATTCTCCTGCCTCAGCCTCCCAAGTAGCTGGGATTACAGGCGCCCACCACCATGCCCAGCTAATTTTTTGTATTTTTAGTAGAGATGAAGTTTCACCATGTTGGCTAGGGTGGTCTTGAACTCCTGACCTCAGATGATCCACCCAATTGGTCTCCCAAAGTGCTGGGATTATAGGCATGAGCCACTGCTCCCGGCCTTTTTTTTTTTTTTTTTTTTTTTTTTTTTTTGAGGCAGTCTTACTCAGTCACCCAGGCTGGAATGTAGTGGCACAATCTCTGTTCACTGCAACCTCCACCTCCCAGGTTCAAGCGATTCTTGTGCCTCAGCCTCCCGAGTAGCTGGAATTGCAGTTGTGCACCACTACGCCTGGCTAATTTTTGTATTTTTAGTAGAGATACAGTTTCGCCAGGTTGGCCAGGCTGGTCTTGAACTCCTGGCCTCAAGTGATCCTCCCACTTGGCCTCCAACTTTATTTTTGAAGGAAGTTTGCCTTCTTCCCTCACAGTGTTTTATTAGTTGAAATTCTAGGGTAAATTCTAGGGCAACCTGTCTATAACAGGTGATAGAGTCCTCCGTGCACTTACAGGGGCAGGTGAAGAGGTAGATTAGACCATTTCAGGCGCACTATCCATTCAAAAACCTATGACTCCATCCATGAGTCAAAGACTGCTCTCAGGAATCCTCAATCTCCAGCCCTCACATTGATTTAGGTATCCAAGGAAGTTTTTTTTTTTGGGGGGGGGGCACTATTAACATGTATTTTATTTGTTATAAGCTTCAATATTTAAACTGAACCAAATAAATATTCACTGAGGAAAAAGATTTGGTGTTTAGCCTGGCAACAATAGAACACCCAGCTTGGAGTAGGCAGATGGGACTTCACACATCTCATGAAAAGTCACAGTAAAGGAGTCTTGGGTGTGTCCAGGTTGGGCAACAAATCCAAATTTCTTAATAAGGTAAACATTTGGTAGCTTTTAGGATGCTGTAGTGTCTGATTTCCCTTTTGACATTTGGGGAATTTCCCACTCTGTGAACCTTGGAATAGTGTTTTCCCTTCTCCCAAAAGCCAAATATTGCATTTCCCAGCATCCTTTGCACTCGGGCAAAAGCAGAGTGCTCACCTCAGACATAGAACTGGGAGCTGACAACTCATGAAACAAGATAAAGGGAGTTCTTTCTGCAGCCACAGCAGTAATAGCAACATCTAGTTTCCAAATGGCTGAAGTGGTGGTGGCAGCAGCAGCCCCCTGGGTCAAGGGCTAGTGGTACTGGTGAACAGTTCTGCCATGTGGATTTGGCTATAGTCCTCAGAGCATTCATTCTAAGGCTGTGCCTGTCCTGTTTTCCAAGCTTGTCCCCTAACCTTCCCAGTGACTCTGTGAACTCCCAGATATCCTTTTGATAAACTTATTTCCTGCTTAAATCAATCTGTTGCTTGTAACCAAGAGCTCTGACTGATATATTAATGGCCTCTTCAGACTTAGTGTGGTCATCTATAAAATGGGATTAATGGTGCTGCCTCTGAGTACTGGGAGGAAAACTATGAAAGGGCACACGAAGGCACCTAACCCTACTTCATGTATACAGTAGAAGCTCAATACAATATATAGTGGATTGTCACACTTATTTTCCATTTTGGGCATCTCAGTTTACCTTGCCCATGGATATTAGGATGTGTTGGGGAGAAGAAAATCAAGCCATTTTACTTACAGTTGTAAATATCACCATCATGATCTTGATTGTGGCAGTTATTTATCGAGTGCCCTACTGCATGCTGGCATTGCACCTGGCAACATATATACCCCGTTTCTAATTCTTGTAACACTGCAAGGTACATATCCTTCCCACTTTTCAGATAAAGAATCCGACATTACAGATGGTTAACGATTTGCCAAAGTTTTCACAATGAATTTAAGCCCAATGGAGCAGAAACTGCGCAAAAGGAATTGTGTAAAAGTTTAAGAGGCTTCTCAGAAAGACTAAAGAACTTGAAATGTGCCTATATTTAGACATCCAGACATAATCAATTTAAGCATTTTGACCAAATTAGAACTATTAAATGGTTTGGTTGAGGTTTCAGACTAGAAATCTTGACCCAGAATCCTGTGACTTAAAGAGACCAAATAGTTGTGTCTCTGTTTAGACCCTGGAATTTCAATGGGTGCAGATGATGTTTGTCAGAATCATCTTGAGAATTCAAACCACACATACCTGTCCTCCCCTCCTCCACAAAGAGAAGGGACTGAGTGGCAACTGCTGATACAAGAAAATCCCAAGACCAGACTTAGATACCCTGCAGTTTGGGGAAACAGAAGGGAATTTTTCTTTTCCTATGGAGACTCATAGCCCAGCTTTATTAGCTATCTCTAGGCGCTAGAAGAAAAAAAATTCAAAGATCAAAAATAAAAGTACTCATTTTGCACAATGCCACTGGAATGACACTGCAATGACGGGAAATGTGAACTACGAGAGGGAGGGCAGTCCCACATGTTTGCAGGCAGGCTCTTCTCAATTTGGGGAACTCCAGAGCCCCAGGCATCTAGAACCCACCAGTCGCCTTCATCCACCCAGGGAAGGCCTGCAGCCGTTTGCGTATCTTAAAAGCCAGTCTATACTTTGGCTCCTGGAATGAAAAACTACACCAAAAGAAATGCCTGATTTTTATTAACTAGCCTAAAAAGGAGTCTTTCACTAATTCTGGGGAAAGTATTTTGCTTGAGTGCTATCCCACTTTGGCAAATGTGATCTGGAGGGGTTGGCTTTAAGGGGTTTTGCCCTGGCAAATGGTTGAGCACAAACACCCGCTGACTCCAGGGACAATTTAAAGGCAAGGGAAGAGATTTCCTTGAATCGATATGGTGGAGCCAAAATAAATGGCTCATCCTGTTCTCTTGAGAAAACATTATTATGATTTTTATTTTTATTTTTTCACAAAAGAGATCCCTGATGCAATTGACCAGGGAGAGTACTAGGAGGCCTGGTTCGGGATTCGAAGAGGCTGGGCCCAGCCCCGAAGCCTCTGAAGCCGGTTGCTCAGCCGCCATGTGGCCAGAGCAAGGGAAGGAGCGGAAGTGGCTTTGGATCCGTGCCACCCTCGCAGCATGTGAACAGGCCTGGGTTTTGACAGATTAAAGATGACTCCGGCAGACAGGGCAGGAGTGGGTGGTATCAGGGCTTTTACCCAAAGCTCTCCGTCAACTGCGGCAAAGCGAAAACGCACATGGACAATCCTGGATCAGCAGCAAAGATTTTGGAAGGAAATGCTAGCGAAAAGCCAGAGCAGGAGACCGGAGCAATAAATCAGGCCGGGAGAAGTCTGAGTTGAAGGATGCTGCTGCCTGGCCTGTCGCTCCCCGGCCAGCCGAAGCACACGTGGGTTGCAGCCGGCGTTGACTCTAGCACCCTGCCAGCTTATTCTGGCTCCAAGAAAATGAGAACATCTTGGCTAAAGATGTTGGGGGCAGTGAGTGATTTTCAGTAAAAAAAAAAAAAAAATCTACTCAAAGGGAAACCAAAGGCCTGGGGCCTCTCACATTAGACAAAGGTGCTAACTACAGAATGGCGGCGGGGGACAGGCTCACAGAAGAGAAGCTGGTGGAAAAGAGAAAAGCAGGGGAGAGAACCAGTCTCCATCTTTCAGGGATGTTTCCTTGGGTACCACACTGATGATTTTTAGAAAATTAATAGTAAAATGCCAACAAAAACTCCCCAGTAGCTATTATAAGGTGGTTAAAAGCCCAGGATTGATTAATTGATTTTTTTGAGACAGTCTTGCTCTGTCACCCAGGCTGGAGTGCAGTGGCTCAATCTCGGCTCACTGCAACCTCCAACTCCCAACTTCAAGCAATTCTCCTGCCTCAGCCTCCTTAGTAGGTGGGCTACTGGCACTCAGCACCATGCCCAGCTACTTTTTATATTTTTAGTAGAGACAGGGTTTTACCATGTTGGCCAGGCTGGTCTCAAACTCCTGACCTCAAGTGATCTGCCTGACTTGGCCTCCCAAAGTGCTGGGATTACAGGCGTGAGCCACCATGCCTGGCCCAAAAGCCCAGGATTTCGATTCAGACCTCGGAGCCTCAATTTCTTCATCCATATAACAGGTGCAATAATTCCTGCTTCATAATGCAAGGATCACCCAAAGCACAGGGCGCTGGTGTGACAGCTGAGATCATTTGCAACCATTTCAGAAACAGGCGATTCCAGAAATCACGGCAGTTCATGGGAAAGAGGCCCCATTCCTCCAGATTTCTTTGTGAATGGCCAAGAAGAAAGCAGAGAACGATTAGCTAATTGTGTGTTGGTAAAAAATTGATCCACATTAAAAAGAGAGAGAGTCCACTTTGTACTTCTCAGCCTCTGCCTCTTCTAATTTAACACACCCTGGTGCCAGAGTGACCGTTATAAACCCAGATCTCTCTGACCAGGTCTTTCCTTTGTCCAGAATTTGCCCTGGTTCTTCACACTCTAACGAAAAGGTCTTATACACTACAGCTCTAGCTAGCCTCCCATTCAAGCCCCACCTCCCCGGGTTTTCATGCAGGGAGGAGCTGGCCCTCCCCATCCACCGTTCCACACCCAGAGGCTTTTGGAAATGATTGGAATCTCGTGCTTGTCACTGCAGGAGTGCTTTATGGGGAAGGGATGTAAACTGTATGCAGTGTGATTGGGGTGTGGGCAGTCTATCACTGTCCTGGACCAAATGCCAATAGCAGCCCTGCTGAAGAACCCTGGGCCCCTGTGAAATAGAGTTCATGCCTCTGGTCTTTCTTTCTGCTGTGTCTCCTGCCTAGAGTGTTCTTGCCTTCATTCCACTCCACCGAACTTGTTCTTCCTCAAAGGCCTAGTTCCAAACTGATCTCCCCTAGGAAGCCTTCTGAGGGAAAATCAATCCATCTACACACCCCCAGCAGCAGAGCTAATGGTTCTTTCCTAAATACTTCTCTGAACCAGCCACTGTGGGGCCCCCATTCACACTGGATTCGTTGACACATCTGTCTCCCCCTTCCCAAGGGCTGAGAGGGATCCTCCTTGTCTTTGCACCCTCAGAGCCTAGCACAGTGCTCAATACCTGCTGAAAGGAGGAAGGAATGATAACCTCCAGCTGTTGTCCACAAGCACATGTCAACAAAGTCTGCAGGACAGGAGCCTATCTTATCAAGGAAACAGCACAGGAATCTCGCAAGATGAACTGAAATCACATTGCTACCAGCATGCTCATACTTCTTCGTTGAGAGCTGGGTTGCTAAGACATCTGCTCTTCTCTTTGCTTTTTTTCCGTGAATTATTTTTTCTGGGTCATTAAAAGTTGTTTAATTTGGTTAATATCTTATTTATTTAATAATAGATCCTACCCTGGAAGCCAAGTTCAGGAACTAGGAGGCAGGGTTGCTATTTCTTTGATAGAGATCTCCTTGGCTCCAGTGATCTTAGTGCAGGCACACTCTAAGAAACAGACTCAAGTTGAACATTTGGATTCCTTGGGGAGGTGCTATCGTGGTGGAGACAGACTTATAAATAGCTATATATGAAGCAGAAGGTTGTTAGTGCTAAACAGGGAGAAGCATGGTGCCAGAAGAGAAGTGCTAAATAACATGTGGTGAGTGAATAGAAACCAGCAATCAGTTTGAGAATAGAGGAGGCAGCAGAGACACAAGCCACTCAAATAATGATCATCTTTGTGTTAGCTTAGAAGCTGGCCCAAACTGTGATTATGACATTTGATTACTGTCTGACATTAATTCTTTACTAGATTCATGTCCTTCCATCCATTCTGCACAATGCTACGAGGTTAATATTCTCAAAATATATTTCCTGCCTTCTCCTCAACACTTAACTTTCAATAAACCCCCATAATCTATAACCCAAACTCTTTAGCCTGGCATCTGAAGGTCTCCCCTAACCCCTCACTGTGAACTGAGTCCTCCTCCCTGGCTTCTGCCACACCCCTGCACCAATCTTCCGCTTCAGGCAAAGTGGTCAACTGGCTGTCCCCCAAACATGAAGAGAGGCCCTGTCACCTTGTAAATATGGTCATGCTGTTTCTATTACCTAAAATGTCTTCTCCTTTCCCTCAGCTCCTCCAAATCCTACCTTTTTCAAGCTTCAATTTCCCCAGTACACTCACTTACTCAATTTCCCAAAGCCAAAGCCTTCCAAATGGTGCCATTTATTTTTTCAGCCAGTTTCAAAGCTATAAATTGGCAACCCTTGCATCCAATCAGTTCTAATTTGGAGGACAGATGCCATGATCCAAACATAGTTACCTGGCACCACTGCCCTCAGCACCACCATGGGCAGGCTAATGCTCCTGAGAATGAAACAGAAGTTGAAAAGCACATAGCAAATTGAGCCTGATTTTTCCTCCTGCTTTTCTTATCACTGACAGTCCACTCAAACTATCCTGGACTTAGTCAATTTAAAAAGAGCTTTGGCTGGGCGTGGTGGCTCATGCCTGTAATCCCAACAGTTTGGGAGACCAAGGTGGGTAGATAACCTGAGGTAGGGAGTTTGAGAATAGCCTGACCAACATGGAGAAACTCTGTCTCTACTGAAAATACAAAAATTTTGTATTTTTAAAAAATACAATGCCCAGGCATGGTGGTGGGCATCTGTAATCCCAGCTACCTGAGAGGCTGAGGCAGGAGAATCACTTGAACCTAGGAGGTGAAGGCTGTAGTGAGCTGAGATCGTGCACTCTAGCCTGAGCAACAAGAGCGAAACTTTGTCTCAAAAATAAAATAAAATAAAGTAAAGCTTTATTCCTTTTTACAAAGCCCTGTTGGACAGGAACCTAGGTTAAAAACCTTGTCCTGTGGTGACTGTAGAAGGGATACTGCGAGCACCTGGCCAAGGATGTCACCCAGGACACCTGGAGCTTCTCAAGTTCATCCCCAAGCACGGAAGTACAGACCCAAGCAGTCTTCCTGGTGGCCTGAGGGTACCCATCAAGGTAGCCATTCCTGTCCCCACCATCCAAAGACACAGTTGAATCTTCTCCCCTTAAGGTAAAGGAAGGCCTAACGTCAGAGGAATTGGCTCCCAGACTATCCCTGCTACCTTCTAGACAGGTGTAACCAGTTAAGTCATTTAACCTCTGGGCCTCAGTTTCCTCAGTCATAAATTATAGCTCTAGCCTACCTTGAAAGACTGTTTAAGGATTAGAGCTAATACATATATACATAAGAATGTTGGTACAAAGAAATTGACAGGTAACTGCTAGTTAGGGTTCCCTCTAGACAGCTGCTAGGAGTCCTAAAAACTAATGCAGAGTGAAATCCCACTGGCTACCTTTGTGGGTAGCCTCAGGCCACCAGGAAGACTGCTTGGGTCTGGGCTTCCATCCTCTGGGATGGATTTGAGAAGCCCCAGGCTGTCCTGGGAGACAGGAAGTCAGTGGGACACAGCACAAATCCATGGTGAGTGGGATGTTGGACATTTTTGCATTGAAATGCAGTCTTCTCTGCCAGTCTCCACTATACACACACACACACACACACACACACACACACACACACACACACACACTCTCCTCTCTCTCTCTCACTCTCTCTCTCTCTCTCTCTCTACAGTCAGCCCTGCCTAAACTGAATGGGACCTTCTTAGCCTGACCCTCTCAGAAGTCTTGTTTCTGTCATTTTCCCATACATCTGCCTGTTATTCTAGAGTCACTGCCATGTGCACTTTTGTCCCTTGAAAATCCACGTCCCCTTCTCACTGTCCTACAGCTATGACCAAAGGGTGGAGAGCAGACCGCAGCTTCCATTTCCATTCCTAGCTTTCCTCTCTTGATGTGTCCCCACAGAAGTCTCTCTCACTTCCCGCCCGACCCCCCCACAACAGATACCCAGCCATCATTCCCCTGAAGTGGGTTCTCCATAAATGCTTTATGAGTGAACAAAAACTCCTGTCATTATTCACTATCTTACAAGCTCTTTAAAAGAATGCCACCAACTCCCCTCCTGTCCTGGCCTCATCAAGAGACACGCAGCCACTATACAGGGCAGGTCAACCAGAAACAGAGCCGTAAAATCTGGGCAGCCCAGTTCAGCCAGCCACAAAAGCAGTGAACCTTGTTTTTCCTTCCAGCCTCACAACCCCACCGGGAAGACAGACCACCTTTAACTAGGTCAACCAAATTTCACAGTCTTCACCCCACACTTTTCCCCTTTATCGTCATGGTTCTCAGTTCTTGGTTGGAGGCATCAAATTTATTGTGATGATTTACGTCTGGAAAAAAATGAAAAATCTCATCAATTCTTGACTGAACTGAAGAAGACCTTCCTGTATGGAAAAACACACCATTCAGGACAATGGGATAGCCTTGGACCATCTCTGCTGGGGGATTTTGCTAAAAAGTCTCCTAAGCTGGCTAGAGCTAAAATTTGGGCAACTTTGAGATAAAAGTCAGGGCAGGATGAAACTGCTTTGGAAAAGCCAGTCTCATTTAACTCATGAAGAACCATCTTTCACAGGACTTGACCTTCTCACCCCGTCCCTTCCTCTCTGCTTCCACAAATGACCAAGCATAGCTTTCTTCTCATGACCCTGCAGACCAACCCCTTGGTAAACAAAGGGGGATAAACAGCTGCCATATAAAAACACCTTGCTTGGAGTGACTCCACTTGTCCCAGATTGTCTGCCTCAAAGTTGTCCCTTTGCTTTTACACACTGCAACCTAAAATCCAATGAGAAACACATTTGTTTGTAAGAATCAAAGAATAATAAGTTGATGCAATGTGAAATCTCATTCCACGGTATTGAGGATTTCACTGCGTTCAAGCTGAAAGGCATCCTAACCCAAGGAGGCTTGTTATCATGTTTGCTTTAGCCCCAAACCTAAAGCTGCAAACACAAGGCTTACAACATGAGGGGCTCTTGAACTGAATTTGAGTGTATATGTATTTATTAACAGACAACTGAAAAAGCAGCATTATTCTCATTCCTATGAAACTTTCACTCCACCTACACTTGTGTAACCAGGTCAAATCAAGCCTGAGTTATATGAGAACGTGGATTCTTACTTTAACAAATACATAAAGTCATGACCCTTTTGTTTTGATATGCTGCCTGGTCCAGACAGGCAGAAAAGCCACCACTAAAACCAAGAGGTATACAAGACTTCACAATTTATTAAGAAGATTAGTTAGCTTTAGTTTGTCCACTAATGATTAGTCACTGAATGTGCATTCCCTTGGAAGCCTCAGAGGTCAGGTAACTCAAGGAACAGTTTGGTTTAATTTTGTTTCCCTCTTTCTTTTTGATACGTCACTGTGCTCTGGAAATTAAGGGCTGTTTTACCTACAACCGTTCCTAACTATATTATATACGACGTGGCAAGCCCACCTTAAATATTGTATGTTTATTCACTTTCCCCTATATTTGTAGAACAGCCTGCTGTGAAATTACAAAGTTCATGGTTCAGCTGAACTTTTGAACTCAAGTGAGGATTTGACACAGCAAAACAATCTAAATGAACCCAACTCGAAGTTTTCATAGTCGAAACTGCTTTTCAGCCTATTGTCTGGGGTAATTGGGTAGGAAAGTTCTTTATTGATGTTGTAAAAACTACCAGTTTAATAACAGGCAGAGGGAGTGGAGAGGAGATGAGTGGATGTACCTTGGAGCGTCTAAAATCACGCTTCTTTTCGAGTTCACTGAACTCTCCCTGACCCCGTGAGGAAGGTCTCCCCAGGACAACACACCAACTCTAAGGTTTGTGACCAAATGGCTGCAGCCTGCCAGCTCTCAATACCTTGGCACAGAATGACCTCTCAAATGCCACACAAAATAAGAATATTCACTTAAAAAATAAGTAGCTACCACGATGCATTGAATGACTACCAAGTACCAGTATCAGACACACGCTTCTTCATTCAGTCTTCACAAAAATGATGCCAGGCTAGGATTACCAGCTCCATTTTATAGATGAGAAAACTGAGACCAGAGACATTAAGCAATTTGCCCAAGATCACACAGCTGATATCTGTGCCTCCATTTCCTCATCTGCAAAACAGATGTTGGACTAAGTGATCTCAGAGTTGAGGCTTTAAGTTCTGGCTTACATGAATGCGGCATTCAGAGAGGGAGCGTTCCATGTGGAAGACTAAAGAATTTTTTTTTTTTGAGATGGAGTTTTGCTCTTGTTGCCCAAGCTGGAGTGCAATGGTGCAATATCAGCTCATCACAACCTCCATCTCCCAGGTTCAAGCGATTCTTCTGCCTCAGCCTCTGGAGTAGCTAGAATTATAGACATGTGCCACCATGCCCTGCTAATTTTTGTATTTTTAATAGAGATAGGGTTTCTCCATGTTGGCCGGGCTGGTCTTGAACTCCTGACCTCAGGTGATCCGCCTGCCTTGGCCTCCCAAAGTGCTGGGATTACAAGTGTAAGCCACTTCTCCTGGCCTAGAAGAGCTTTCATTCACAGTAATCCCAACACCACCTATGAAGTAAGTTGAGGTAGGGTAACCTCAACTTTATGGAAGAAATTGAGTTTAGGTGGGTTGGTTGACTTGCCCAAGGTCACACAGCTGGCAGGAGCAAAGTTCGGATAAATTCCCAGACTCTAAAGCTTATCCTCTTTCCATTTCTTGACTATAAAGTCAACATGATGTCCTTTGGGTCTCGACCTCCACATTAAAAATTTTGACTGAGTTTGAGAGTGAAGGTTGGCAGGCTAAGGGTGGAGAGGAGGGTTTGTCTGGACAAAATATCAGAGTTATGGCTTCAAAGTTTTTGCTTTAAAAAACAAAAACTTCACACCTCTTGGATTTGGGAGCAACTGTGCCAAAGCTCTCCTAGAGTGTGGTACTAACCCCTGCTATCCCTGGTCACACTGCCTTTGGTGTGACTGCTCTTGAGAAAGCCAATGAAGAAAACCTGCTGGACATTGATAATTGAGAAAAAAACACATAAAATGCTTAGTCTAGTTATTTAGTAAATGCTTAACAAAGTTACCTAGTACTACATTTTGTTTATTCCTACTTAGAAAATATGAACACAACGTCCTCCTACTTTATACTCTGGCCATTACCAATGTCCAACAGGACTTCTCCCTTATATTTTATATATGCCTAATATATAGCAATATGTAGATATTGGTTTGGTTTTTGTTTTGTTTTGTTTTGTTTTTTTGAGACAGAGTCTTGCTCTGTTGCTAGGCTGGAGTGCAGTGGCATGATCTTGGCTCACTGCAACCTCCGTCTGCCTCAGCCTCCTGAGTAGCTGGGATTACAGGCACATACCACCATGCCCAGCTAATTTTTGTATATTTAGTAGGGACGGGGGTTTCACCATGTTGGCCAGGATGGTCTTGATCTCTTGACCTCATGATCTGCCCACTTCTGCCTCCCAAAGTACTGAGATTACAGGCATGAGCCACTGTGCCTGGCCAGGATTTTTTTAATTTGATGATTTTCTTTTAATTGGACACTTTTTCTGTTTACATTTAGCTTAACTACTAGTTTATGTGGGTTGAAAGCTGCCATCTTATAATTTGCATTCTGAATTGTTCTACCTGATTTACATTCCTTTTGTCTTCTTTCAGATTAATAAAATATTGTTTTATTATTCTACCCATGCACCATTAGTTTGTAGATATGTACACTATATTAATTTTTAGGGTCCCTCCTAGTGCATTAGTCTGTTCAGGCTGCTATAACAAAATGTCATAAACTGGGTAGCTTATATGCAAACCTACTTCTTACAGTTCTGGAGGCTAGACCAAGTGCTAGTGGATTTGATGACTGGTGAGCGCCTGCCTTTTGGCTCATGGATGGTATCTCCTCACATGTCTTCACGTGGTGGAGAGGTAAGGGGTCACTCTCAGGTCACCTTCATAAGGCTACTACTCCCATTCATGATGGCTCCATCTTCATGATCTGATCACCTTCCAAAGGCCTCACCTCCTAATACCAATCGCACTGGTGATTAGGTGTCAACATGAATTTTGGGGGGACACAAACATTCAGACCATTACACCTAGAGATCATAACACTCATCCTTGATTTGTCAGGTTCTAGTGTTATTTGACACTTTCATCCATTTCCTATTAATCACTCCTCCATTATGTTATACCATGATTTTGTATTTTAACTCTACATTTTGAGCCTCCCTAGTTATTACAATTTTTTATATGAGTAATGCGCATTTAGATTTACGCCATATTTGGCTTTTTTCTAACTTCTTAAATCTCTAACCTTCTGTGTGGATTATTTTTCTTCCGTCTGGAGAACACTCTTTTATACTTCCTTCCATGTAATCTGCTGATGATACATTTTCTTAACTTTGGTTATCCTTCTTAAATGATATGTTCCTGGCTTTAGAATAGTAGGTTGGCAGTTATTTTTCTTCACTGCATTAAATATATAATCCCATTGTTTTCTGCCTGCCAATGTTTCTGTTGTTAAGGCATTCATTATATCTTTTGAGAAGTTTAGTGTTAGTTTAACTGTTGCTTTCTTTCTGTTTTTTGTTTTCTGTTTTTGTTTTTCGTTTTGTGTTTTTTTTTCTTTGAGACAGGGTCTCACTCTGTCACCCAGGCTGGAGTGCAGTGGCATGATCACAGCTTATCATAGCCTCAACCTCCCAGGCTCAGGTGATCCTTCCACCTCAGCATCCCAAGTAGCTGGGAGTATAGGGGCCTGCCACCACGCCTGGCTGATTTGTATTTTTTGTAGAGATGGGGTTTTACCGTGTTGCCCAGGCTGGTCTTGAACTCCTGGGCTCAAGTGAACCTCTGGCCTCAGCCTTTCAAAGTGCTAGGATTACAGGCATGAGCCACTGACCCCAGCCTCTCTGGCTGTTTTTAAGATTTTGTTTTGTGCTATGGTTTGAATGTGTCCCCCAAAGTTTATGTGTTGGAAATTTAATACCCCATGCAATAGTGTTGAGTAGTGGAACCTTTTTTTTTTCTTTTTTTTTTAAATTATTTTATTTATTTATTTATTTTTATTGCATTTTAGGTTTTGGAGTACATGTGAAGAACATGCAAGATTGTTGCATAGGTACACACGTGGCAGTGTAATTTGCTGCCTTCCTCCCCTTCACCTATATCTGGCATTTCTCCCCATGCTATCTCTCCCCAACTCCCCACCCCCTGCTGTCCCTCCCCTATTTTCCCCCAACAGACCCCAGTGTGTAGTGCTCCCCTCCCTGTGTCCATGTGTTCTCATTGTTCAACACCCACCTATGAGTGAGAACATGCGGTGTTTGATTTTCTGCTCTTGTGTCAGTTTGCTGAGAATGATGGTTTCCAGGTTCATCCATTTCCTTACAAAGGACATGAACTCATCGTTTTTGATGGCTGCATAATATTCCATGGTGTATATG